CCAGCCTGCTCTGCTGAAACAGGCATCGGGTTCTGGGCAGACCCCAGGCCCCTCAGGTCAGTCCTTGCAAGGCACGCAGGCCCATTTCGATGGCTGTGTGAAGTCCGTTGTCTGGATGCACCCTCGCTCCCATCTCCTCTCGCGGGAGTTTAGGTGGTTCCGACTTTTTTTTTTTTTTCCCATTGCCAGTGGGCTCCAGAAGATGCTCTTGTAGCTGATCTGTGTGCCCATCCGTGACTATTTCTTTAACAGAAACTCCTGGGAGTGAAGAGGAGGGTCATGGGCTGAGCACACATGGCTGACAACTTTCATGCACTTGAGCTGGGTTTAAGGTGGAGAGAGGGCTCCCGGGAGGGAAGAGGGTGCTCCTGGCAGAGGGAACACTATGGGCAAAGATGCATGTGTGAGGCATCCAGAATTCTCTAAAGGCCTTTTGAGAGGAAGACTTTGCTGCTTGTTTAGAATTCCGGGAAAGTGGCTCAGAATGACCTTGCCGTTCTTCCATGTGTCTTCCCCTCCTTCTTGGGGAGCCCTCCACTCCCTGACCAGCCTGGGCAGGGAGCTGGGGAGGAGCTCAGGCTCCCCACTGCAGCGCTCCCCGGGCCACACCACCCACCCACCGGATCCTCTTTCTAAAGCTCAGCTGATATGTCTCTTGGGCTCCTCGCCTGGTCTCCAGATCAATCAAGGGCTCGGGTGCCTTTAGAAGATTCTTGTGGGTCTTGGGTCCCTTATGCAGTCTGGGGCTGGCATCAGGCTCTGCCCCACTGTGGGTGGCCAGTTGGCTTCATACACCTCTGGCCAGCCCAGATCTTCATCATTCTCTGGTCACGTCTCCTTGATTCCCTGCCCACCCCCACCCCCACCCCTTTAGTCATCTTGCTCCTTCCATCTAGGGTAGTGTGTCCCCACACCGAGTGGAAGCCCATCTAGGGCAGTGAAGGCTAGGTCATGGTGAAGGGCTGGGGTTTCATTCTTGAGGGGCTAGAGGGAGGTACATTTGGTTTCTAGGGAACGTTCAGAATAGGTCCTATTCTTCTAGATAATACCACTTCCTCCCCTGCCCCAGCACCAGGCCCTGCCTCCTCAACTCAGTCCCTCTGTTCCTTCCAGGCCACTGCACTTCATTCTGGGTGGGGATAGGCAGGGACAGGTGGGGACAGGCTGGGGCCAACTCAGCCACACACAGAAGCCTGGGCTGACCCTGGGAAACACATTTCCATCCTTATCAGTTATTTCCATGGAGGGTTCCGCTGGGCATCTCCCACTTTGTCCCTCAGGGGCCCTGGTCCCAGGGCTGGCAGGGCCTGACCGCCGTGTGGGATGTGGCCACGTCCCGGGGTGGATGTGGCCTGAAGCTGCCACCACTAACAGGACATTTTATCTGAACATTAATTCAGATGTTGCATTCCATTCCCTAGCGTGGCTGGTTTGTTGTAATATTAAAGTGTTATTTTAATATTGTTAACTTTGTTATTTACTGTTGAGTAAACTGCTAGTCTAGGTGGAGTTGCTGAGAACATCCTGAAGTCTCCCGTGTCCCCAGGGACAGCCACCCAGCCCTCAGCAGCCGGGCCAGTGCAGCAGTCTTCGGAGGCCACTACGTGCCCTGGATTCTATGTAAACAGAGTCCCCTAGAGTTGTGCCATCGATCCCACAGCCCTGGGGGAAAGGCCAGGAGCCTGGCTTCTGAGGGACACTGTTGCTAACAGGCAGTGTGACTTGGGCCATGGCCTCCCCTCTCTGGACTTCTGTCCCCTTATGAGGCAAAGGGAAGCCATGGGAGGTCTTCACTTGGCTCGACAGTGTTTTCTGGCGACTCAGCAGGAACTTCAGAGCGGTAGGCAGCAGCAGGGGAATGGCGAGTGGAGGACGGGACCACGGAGCCTCTCTGCAATCACAGACGGTGGGGGTGGTGCCCCACTGCACCTGCTGAGCCCGCCCCGATCCAGGGGCTGAAGGAGACAGAACTTGGACAGGATGCTCATGGCGTGCAAAGTGCTGGCTTAGCTACGAGCCTTCTCCAGGGAATGCAGCCCTGCCTGTGACGCCTGTCCTTCCTGTGACAGCCCTGGGCTTCCTGCAGCCCTGGGAGGGTTCGGGGCTGGGAAAGGGCAAGTGGCATTACTCCAGGCTCAGGGCACACGCAGAGCAGCTTGCAATCCCCCAATGACTGTCTTCTGGGGCCACAGGAACCATACGGGGCTGAGTCTTCCCCGGGGAGCAGGATTTGCCTGCCTACACCCTGGCCTCCTGTCTCAGCAATGTGCAAATGGGGTTCTGGCCTCCAGGGCTCTGAGGCTGCAGTGCCCCCCCCAACCCACACAGCATGTGGGCTATCAGTGGAGGCGCTGATCGCTGGAGCCTGAGCAGATGAAGAAAGGTACATTGTCTAGCTCAGCTTCTCTTCCCCACCCTGCCCTGCTGCAGAAGTGGCCAAAATCCTAATATTGGTGTGGTTTTGTTTAGCAAACAAAGAGCATGCAAAGCAGTTCCCCATCCGTGTGTGTGTGTGTGTGTGTGTGTGTGTGTGTGTGCGCGCGTGCGCGCGCGCCCAGCACCCTCCCTTACCCCTGACATGGAGCAATGGAACACCCATTCCAGGCCTGGCCCCAATGTATGTCTCCCCATCTCTGGCCTCCACTGTGTCCATGGACATGAGGAGAGGAGGGAGCAGGTGGTCTCCAAGGCTCTGCTGGGAACCCCCACAAATGGGGAGCCTGCAGAGGAGGCCAGACCACCCTCCCTCTGTGCAAATCTCAACCCCCTACCCCTGCTTCCACAAGCCTGACAGGGCACTCTGGCTGAAGTAAACAGAAAGAGCCACTGGAATGAAGCGTAATAGGAGTCCTGGCTGGCCAGACTCAGAGCCTGGGAGTTGGGGGTTTGCCACGCCCCAGAAGGCCTCGGAACCCACAGGTTCACAGCAAAGGAGCAGTGTGGGGGGAGCATCTGCCGGTGTCACTGGGAGGAAGTAAACAGAGACTTGAAGACCATCTTGCCTTGGAATCAGATTCGAATCCCAGCTCTGCACTTGCCCACTGTGTGATCTTGGGCAAGTTGGCCAACCTTTCTGAGCCTCCACTAACCCCTCTGTAAAATGGGATAATGACACCTCCTTTGCAGAGGGTTGTGCTGGTTCGAGTCAATGTGCGGAAACCCTGGGCCCTGCTCGGTACCTGGAAGAGACTCGTTCAGAAGTGTCCACTGGGTGGGCCAGGTGTGGGCTTGATGCTGAGGGCACCGGAGACCACCTTCTGGCAGAGGAGAAAGTTACCCACATATAACTGCCATAGCAGGTTCAGTGGGTCCTGAGGTGTAAGTGGGGAGCCCAAGAAGCTCAGCCTTCAGAGGTGGGAGAGCTTCCGGTTGGAATGACCAAGGGAGGCTTCATGGATGAGGCAGCATTTGAGCAGACCTCATAGGATGGGCAGGGCTTCAAAAAAAGGGCTACTCACCGCCTGGCAGCACTTAGCAGGTGCTAAGCCCTGCTCACTGCTCTGCAAGCATGGTCTCAGGGAATCCTTCCACAGACGAGGAAGCTCTGTCACGTCCTACAGCTAGTGAACAGTGGCACCAACCTTAAGTGAGTCCTATCTGCAAAGTCCCTTTGGCCATATAAGGCTCTAGGGATTAGGACTCGGATGTCATCCTTGGGGGCCGTTATTCAGCACACCATGGTGATTACATCAAGAAATTTGAGATGGGAAGATTACCCTGGATCATCCAGATGAGCCCCATGTGATCCCAGGGTCCTTCCAAGAGGAAGGCAAGAAGGTCAGGCAGAAGAATGAGGCCGGTGATGGAAGCAGAGGTCAGAGCCACCTGCTTTTGAGATGGATGAAGCGGCCACAAGCTAAGGGCGGCCACGGCCTCTACCCTGAAGGGATGCAGCCCCGCTAACACCTTGAGTTTGGCTCCGTGAGACTCATTTTGGGTTTCTGACCTCCAGAACTATATGAGGATAAACTGTATTGTTTTAAGCCACTAACCGCACGGTAATTGGTTAGCAGCCGGCGGAGACTGATACAGCCCCCAACTGCAGGAGCCTCGCCTTCACCATCACCTTGCCGCTACGGGCTCTTTGGCTTCTGTTCCTGCACTTACCAGTTTGGTCTGAGGCCACATCTCCCAACGCATCTGTCAGCCAGTCCAGAGCTTTCTCTCTTTTTTTTTTTAAGTTTTAAATTTTTTTTAGTAATTTCTACGCCCAACATGGGGCTCGAACGTACGACCCTGACATCAAGAGTCGCGTGCTCTACTGACTGAGCCAGCCTGGCGCCCCGGCTTTCTCTGCCTTTTGAAGCTCCCTACCATCCCTTCCCAAAGCCTAACTTGCACCCAGGACACAATAAACACTGGTTAAATGTAAATAAATCTGTGTCTTTATTTTTATTTACAGCAGTTGAGAGGAACGGGCTCTTGTCAGCAGTGACTGCTTGTTTCTCCAGCCCGGAAGCCCCGTGGCCGGCTGAGTGCCAGTCAGAAGTGGGGGGCAGCCAGTACATCTGGCCAAAGCAGAGGGGTATTAGGCCTCCTACTGGGACAAGAAGCAGCTCTGGACATCCGTGGCAGCCAGAAGGAGACCCACTAAAAACCAGATCCCAGCACAGTGGGCAGCAGGCAGAGGGGGGGTATTTCTCTGTGGATTCCAGTTCTGGGCTATTCTTGGCATCCCTTGGGGGGAGTGGGAAGGGCTATGCTGGCTTTCTGGGCTCCATGGGAGGGAAGGTGCCCAAGCTCTTAGACCTCTAAAACAACTTAGCTCAGAAAAGACCCAGCCCAGTTCTCATATTTTGCAGCAGGAAAATATTGGTCCAGAGACGGAAAGCAACTTGCTCGAGGTCACACAGCAATTCTGTTGAGTCTCAAAACAAGCTGAACGATTCCTGCCCAGCCCTGACTCCAGGAGACCGGGGATCTGGGCGCAGGAGGCTGGCCTCCCTCTGGGTCACGGGACCTCAGGGCAGGCTGGCCGGGAGCCCAGGGCAGGTGCAGCCTCACTTGAGATTGTGCTGGCTCTCGCGGTGCCGCCGCAGGTCGACCTTGCGCTGGAAACCCTTGGTGCACAGCTCGCAGCTGAAGGGCTTGAAGCCGGTGTGCTTCCGGCTGTGCGTGATGAGGTTGGAGCTCTGGCTGAAGGCCTTCCCGCACACCTGGCACTTGTGGGGTTTCTCACCTGCGGGGCAGCAAGGAGCGAGTCAGGGCTGTCGGTGCCAGGCCCGCCGCCCCGCTGCCCTGCACTTGTTCGCCAAACTCTGCTATGTGTTATCTCGCGGCCAGCCCACATGCGCTTTAAAGAAAAGAACTACAAAAGGGGGAGGGGAAAACAACGCCCTCGGGGTTGCACCCTGGTCGGACCGGGACTGGGTCGGGGCCCTCAGTTAACAGCCAAGCAGTGAACGATTGGAGGAATGAATGAATGGAGAATCCACCTGTAAGTCTCACTTGGACCCAGAGATCACCCTTTGGCCGTTCCCTTCCCGGCGTTTTTCCTACACATTAAACGTGTACTTAAGTAGCAGAGCGGCCAGCCCTCTGTGCGGAGGCGAGTGCCTCTCGCTTTGTAACTTAACCACGCACCACCCCTCCCCCCCGCCCCGCGCGTCCGAAGCAGAGACCTTTCACCAGTGGGAGGGAGGGGGGCGGGGAGAGGCTCTGCTTGGGCCCGTGCGGGCGTGGCCGGGGAACCCCGGGGCCGGACGAGGGGCGGGCGCCTCACCTGTGTGGATGTACGTGTGCTTCTTCATGTCCGACTTCTGGTGGAAACGCTTGCCGCAGAACTGGCAGGGGTAGGGCCTCGTGTCCGAGTGGATGAGCAGGTGCGTGGACAGGGTGGACGAGCGCTTGAAGGCTTTGCCGCACATCCGGCACTCGAAGCTGCGCTCCTGCCGGACGAAACGAGGCCCAGGGGGGTCAGGCGCGGGCGGGGCCTCGAGACCCGGGACTGCCACGCTGGGCGCAGGACCGGCCCCTGCCGGGATCCCCTGAGGAACAGGATACTCGTTGGGGGGACCTCGAGAACGGGTCCTGGAGGAGCAGGACCAAGAGACCCCCATTTCTGCATCCCAAGGGGGGCTGAGGCTTGGGGCCTGAGAGGCCTCCTGTGGGTTTTCCCCTGTAATCGTCACAGTATCCCATGCAAAATAAGCCTCAACACGCGTTTGTTGACTGACTGATTGATCGACTGATCTGGGGCATGGTCATGGGCTTCGCAGTGCTTTGGTTAAGAGTCTGTATTATTGGGGCACGACTCTGGCTTCTGCCCCTTAGAAGCCACATGACCTTAGACAAGTCATTTAACCTCTAGAGACTCAGTTTCCTCATCTGTACATGAGAACAGCAGTAATGAGCTCAAAGTGTAGAGAGCGGAGCTGGCGACTACTAGCATGTGGTGTGCGTTCACAATTGGAAGCGCTCATGACCGTATCCTGCCTCTCCTGCCTGAGCTTTTATTGACTCCTGTGTTAGCAACTCGGGTCATTTCCGGTACTTTCCCTGGAATGGAATATTCAAGAAGGGCTAAGTGGGACAAGATGAACATTTAAGCCTGACCCAAAGATTCTAAAAGTCGGGAGCCTCGAAGCTGAGGACACCTCTCCTGAACACACAGATGGCAGGATCATTTCTGAGCCTCAGAGACATCTCTCTGCCCCGGAAATCCCACTGGGCCAGGAGCCTCTCCCAACAGCACATGAAGCTGATTTGGTCCATCAGGGAGGGTGTTGGGAAAACTATAACGAGGCTAGCACTAAAGCATAATTATTCATTATCAAAAACAAATTAAACTATATATTAAATATATATAACATATATATATTTTAAAAAGAGGATTTTGGGGACCCAGATGAGGGGGTAAAGGACCCTTGATCTGTGTCACCTTCAGAGGCAGGGTGAGAGACCCAGCCATAGCCCTAGGCTTCCTGCGGGAGGCACAGAGCAGGAATGGGAAGGGGGGGGGTCCTGGTCTTGGCCAGCTGCCCACCTGGGAGTGGACGTGTGTGTGCTGCTCCAGGCTCACGGCGTGGCCGAAGGTTTTGCCACAGACGTCACAGGCAAAGGGCCGGGTCCCGCTGTGGGAGCGGCGGACATGCACTTCGAGCCCGTGTGGGGTAGAGAACACCTGGGGGCAGGGGGCAGAGCATGAGGCCACTGGGGGCTGTGGAGAAGGAGATGGGCCTGGGTCCCAAAGCCAGCCCCACCCCCTCCATGCCCAGGCACAGACAGCCATAAAGCAGGAGAAGCACCGGAGTGCTGTGTGTCCTGGGAAGGTCCCTTTCCCTCTCTGTGGCTTGGCTTCCTGTCTAGAAAATGGGAGCTGTGGGAGCATGTAAAAGGCCCCTCCTGGCCCTAGCTAGAGGCTGGATAGCCTAGGGGTTAAGAGCCAGGAGTTTGCCAGAGCCACGTTTGAATGCTGGTACTGATGTCTACTTGCTGTGCGCTCTTGGGCCAGTGACTCAACCTTACTGAGCTTTTTGTCCGCTTCCCAGGGCTCAAGCAGGTCAAGTGCTTCGCACAGGGCTAGCACACAGCCAGGGCTCATGGTCCTCGTCGTCATGGTGAGGACGAGCATGCTGAACCCTCGACCCCACCGAAGGACTCAAGAGTCACAGCAGAGGGAGCACCCAGCTGCCAGGGAACTGGAGAGGGGACGCAGAGCAGGGCCCGCGAGCCCACCCATACCCAAGTTGCCCACCTTGTTGCACTTGATGCAGTGGTACGTGTCCATGCCCGGGGAGCAGCGGAGGCTGAAGTCCAGGGGCGGCTCAGTGCTGGGCACAAGAGGCCTGCCGTACAGGCTGACGGAGCGCTCGAGGAAGGCAGACTGCATGGTGGAGGGGGCCTGCCGGTAGCTGTGGCCGTAGGACGAGGCCAGGGCATCCCAGGAGAAGCTGGGCTTGTAGAACGGGGGCGAGTCGGACTCCCTGTCCTGGGATCGGGGCATTACAGCAGGGCCCTCTGTGGAGAGTGCGACACACGTGTGGTGGTGGTTCATTGATAACTAGGGCACTGCTCCCCACCACTCTCCACCTAATGACCTCATGCTGCGGATTGTGGGCCATAGCCCAAAGTATTACTGTGGGAGAGGGTCTGGGTCTTCACTGTGGCTTCTCAGCTTTTCAGGTCCCCAGCACCTGCAGAGTGCCCACCTCACCCACTGCATTGGCCTGCCCACCACTTCTTCTGACCTGCCACACAGAAGCTCTCATCTGGGAGTGAGCTCCCCGTCCTAGAGGGGTCCAGGCAGAAGCTGGAGAGCCCAGATTGTATCCAGATGGCCTTGTCGATCTTGCCTGACTCCATAACTCCAAGGATCCCTGCTTCCATGAGCCCATCCTCCCTCCATTCCACTTGCACTGGCTGACGGGGAATGGCCAGTGGCCCCGGCCTGGGTACCTGGCACCAAGGCCGTCCTGCTCAGGCTCTGATCCAGCTCCAGCTCTGGCTCCCGTTTGAGGTCAGTCCAGGTCAGGCACTGGTTTGGGAACAGGGTGTTGAGGACAGGATCATTGCTCAGGACCTGGTCTCTGGCCCCTGTGGGGAGACAAGACCATCAGAGACACCAGCTACAGCTCCTCGGAGGATGGGGACCCAGAGACGCACTGGGCTGCCATCCCCAGCCGCTCGCATGCACGGGCCCTGCCCAGGATGGTGGGAGCAGCATGGAGGCCAAAAGGAACGCCCCCGAGGAGAACTCCTGGACCAGTGTTAGTTTTCTGAGCACCCAACCTCAGCCCTAGATCTTCCCTGAGTCTGGTTAGGACCCACATGTTGGCTGCTAGGGACCAGCTCCGATCCTGAGGCTCCCACCATCCCAACCGGTCAGAAGAGACGCGCGCATTCATTCGTTCGTTCAACCAACGTTTACTGAGCTTCTGCTCGCAGAAGGGATGCTGCTGCATCCCCAACACAGGGGGCAGGGAGCCCTGGGTGGGTGCCGCGGGGGGCTCTCTGACTCACTGGGGCTGAGGGCAGGAGGCCAGATCGGGTCATCTTCCTGGATGCGGGGCTGGTGGTAGGTGTGAGCCTTCTTGCTCTTCACCAGGAAGGAGCGTGGCATGGTAAATGTGCACCCCACACCTGCAAGGGGAGAGGGGGAGAACAGTTAGGAAGGGGCAAGAAGACAGCAGTCTCTGTATTTTAGAGCCTCCTCCTGATATCAGAACCCACTGTCCTGAGTCGAACGGTGTCCCCCAGAAGTTCATGTCTACCTGTGAATGGGATCTTCTGAGGAAATAGGGTCTTTGCAGATTTTACCAACCTAAGATGAGGTCATACTGAGTTAGGGTGGACCCTAAGCCCGGTATGTCCAGGGTTCTTATAAGAAGAGGGAACTTTGGGCACACAGACACAGGCACACACAGGGAGAACACCATCTGGAGGCCGAAGCAGAGATGGGAGGGACGCGCCCACGAGCCGAGGAGCACCGAGGATCGCTTTCTCCACCAGAAGCCAGGAGAGAGGCACGCGACAAACTCCCTCAGAGCCTCCAGAAGGAACTGACCTTGCAGACACTTTGATTTGGGATCTCTAGACTCCAGAACCTTGAACGAATAATTTTTGTGTTGTTTTAAGCCACCTGGTTTCTGGTAGTTGGCTACAGTGGCTACAAATCCTAACCTGCCCCCACTACTCCCTTGCTAGGAAACTAATACACCCACCTTCTAGAAAATCCCCAGGGTCAGTCTGCTCCTGCCCACATGCCCTGAATCACACTAGGAGCAGCGAAGGAAGGGCAGGGGTGTCTTCAAATATGACACTGTGGCCCCGGCATCCAGAAAGCTGCATTTGCACCCCTGTGGGATCTGCATCCAGAGGCCACGGAAGGGGTGGTCTGAGCTCAGGTTCTGGAGTCAGATACTCACGGGTTAGAATTCCAGCTCACCCGCTGTGCACTTTGGGGCAGATGCTTAACCTCTCTGGGCCTATTCCCTTTTCTGTAAGGTGCAGCGCCCAGGCAGGTAGTGCCTGCAAGTGCATCTTATGTGCTTAGTGCTTATGGAGGGGAGGCGGGGGGGGGCAGGGGAGGCGGGTTGCAACAAAGGGGGCACCTCGATTGAAAGGCCATGTTACTGTGGCACTGAGGCACCCAGAGCAGGGCTGCCCCTCATCCGTGGCATCAGCCCAGAGTCTGGTACCCAGAGAGGGAGGAGCCTTCTCTCTCTCTGAGTGGGGGTGTGGGGGGTTGGAGTTGCATGTGGGTCTCAAGGCCCGAGAGGACTCCCCCATGCCACCCCACTGGGAAGACGGAGGGCATTTTGTGCACATGGAGGAAGAGGCCAGTGTCCACCAACTGTAAGAACTAAGCAGTGGGCAGCCCAGCTCAGCTGCATGGTACCGAACCCACCAGTCAGGGGGTGGGGGAAGACACGGAGGACCAAGTCAGGAGAAGGACATGCCCTTGGTCCTGGGCGGGGGTCGGTGGCGTGGTAGAGCCAGACCAGCCTGAACACCTTGACACCCCTGGCTTCGCATGAGAAGAGCGTCTCCTGCCCCTCGAGGCTCCTTGTGCTCAGCCCGTGAGGCTCCCCTGAGGGCTCCTGGGAGACAGAGAACATCTGAGTGGTCCTCTCTCTCCTCTCCACCACCCCAGGCCAGGCCCAGGCAGGAGTTCAGGAAATACTTCGTCAGTGGCATTCCTGGTGACTCCTCTGTGGGTCCCATTCCCAGGCCTCAGAGCCGGAGCCCCCTTCCCCAGGCCAGCCGCCATGCAGGGCTGCAGGGACCATAGGGCCAAGCGCGGGAAAGGGATTACAGCTGCTCCAACAAGAGCCAGGGCTGGGTGATAAGGCCAAGGCGAGGAGCGGCTGTGGGGAAGGAGATTAGAGTGGGCAGCTTGGAGCCCTGCCTTTGGAGCAGGCTCAGGGAGTCACCCCTTCCCCCAGTGTGACCCCAAGCCAGGCAGAGGCCCCCAGCTGTGCCCAGGCCTGCCTGCCCCTCACCAGAGCCCCCAGGGCATCAGGAGTCTGGTGAGGCCACTCCACCCTGGGCAATCCTAGGCCCTGCCCTCCCCACCATAGGCCTCAGTGTCCAGATCTGCTAAACGGGGATCACAAGCCACCTTCCTGCCATTGTTGGGCAGAAAGGACCTCTATTACAAACAAGTGTGCAAAGTGCTCGGCGTAGTGCTGGGGCTGCAGGAGCACTGAGCAGGTGGTGGCCTCACAGCCCACGGGAGGAGAAGCTTCAGGAAGGCTGGCACAGCCCATGTCCTGTCCTGTCTGGCCGCATCTCCAGTACCCTGCCCAGAGCAGGTGCGCTCTGAGGACAGGGATGAGCCCGGGACCAAGAGCAGGGACATGCTCCAGGCCCTTCCCCTCTGGGATCTGAAATGAAGAGGTGGGACTTGCAGGCTCTGGGGTCCAGTCCAGCTGTCAGATTTTGCCCTCCCAAGGCTTGCCTGGCCTGCTGTCTCCCCCAGGCTTGTCGGGAAGCCTGCGGTGGCCTTATCTGCCAGGGGCAGTCTTCCTCTGCCTCCTCCCCTCCCCCAGGGCTCCTCTTACCACTCCCCCTTCCCCCTTCTAACTCTTGGGTCCAGGAATCCCCTGGGGTGGCCAGACCCTGGGCAGAGCCAGAGGAGACCCCCCACACACACACACCCCACAGGAGAGGCGGGGGCTGCGTGCTTTTGCCTTTTGTTCTGGGGGAGCCTCCAAGGGCCACGGTCTCTCTATCAAAAGATGATCTATTATTTTTTACATAGTATTTTAGTAGTAAGCGAACGAGAACCAAAGGTCGGCATGAAACTGCTGGAATGCCAGGAGATACTTCTTGCAGCCAGAATCTGCGTAGCCTTAGCTCCGTGAGTTTGGACCTGGGAGCTGAGGGGCTACTGCCCCATTTCACAGAGGAGGAACGAGGCTTGGAGACTGGCTCATGATCCCAGGCAGATCCCAGGCTGCCCGCCACCCCCTGCCCCGCCCTGGCCTCTATACTCTCAACTGTCAGACACGGGGTGGGCACTCGGGGCGGAGGCAAGTGCGCAGACATGCTAAGGAAGGTGTCTAGAGCTCCCTGGTGTGCGTTATGCCATGAAAACTGACACCCACGGGGGCATTGTCTTCCGGGCTCACAGGGTGAACTGAGGCTGAGGGAGGAAAGTGGCTCATCCAGGCCTTGTGTTCCTGTCCTGCTGGGACTTGACTCCTGGCCCAGGGCTCTGCCCATCAGCACCTGTGGTCTTTCCAGCTACCCATGAAGACAACCTGCCTGGAGCAGGGAGAGAAGGCTGGTTGGTGGGGCAAGATGATGGAAAAATCAAATTCCTTTGAATTCTGTCTTTTCTAGAACCCAGAAGTTCCACATGGGTTCCTGGAGACTTTTGAGGGGAGAGGTCGGAGAGAAAGACCTCCTTCAGGAAGCTCTGTTGTTCCCTTGGGCTCAGAGCCTGAGGACACCATAGAGGTCAACTGGTTAGGAGTCAGGACAACATAGTCCCAGTTTCCGGGGTCCCTGGCTGGAGGAAAGCGACTCTCAGGGCCCACTCTAGGGATCCCCTTCAGAGCCCCCAGTTTCCCTCCCTCTCCCTCTCGAGAATGTTCTCTCCACCAAGCCTGGTAGAATGGCACAGCCAACCCCATGGCTTTAAGCCTTCAAGCTCCCCGTGGGGGCCAAACACACCAGGAGAACTTCCTTTTGGCCCCTGTTAGCGGAGTTAAAAAAAAAAAAAAAACCCTAAAAAAAAAAAAAAAACAGGAACCAATCACCTATACTGTAGTTAATTAACAACCACACCGTTTTGATTCACACGGACCGTTCTGAGAAAGAGCTCAGAGCAGAGATTGTGAAAGAACCCTAAGATTTCTTCATGAAACAGAGGCCTTGATGGTATCGACCTCCGGAAAGAGACTTGCTGTTAACATCTCTTCCAAACCCTCCATCCCGATAGGGGGTGCTCTGACCCCGAGTCAGAATCTCGGCCCCGCACCTCTACGTCCAGGTGGACTCGAAGCCACAGCCTGGTGACTTCCACATAACGGGGCGCCACGGACGTCCCGTGGGGCTGAGTCTGATTTTTGTGACCTTGAGCTTGACCACGTCGGCCTCCAACCTGGGGCTTGGTTTTCCTATCTCTCAAAGAGGACCGTTGGACTAAGAGATTTCTAAACTTCCCTTTTGCTCTAAAATCCCATGCACAGTTTGTTGACCTTCACCGAAGGACTGACCTGCCTTGACTAAGAACCTCATCACTCGGGTTCCCTTTTTGGGAGGGTTGGGTAAGACTCTGTTGTTTCTCAGAGTCAGTGACAGAGGACTCTTTGGACTTCCTTTATGTTTTAAAGACGTGACTCAAACAACAAACAAACAACAACAAAAAAAACCCTTTCCATGTAGCAGTTAAGGGAAATGGGCCTGTTTCATGTTAGGGGCCCCGGCAGAAAGGGGTCGTTATTTTTATTTGAAACTTGCAAGCAGTTCTCAAATGCTCTTCCTAAGTTCAGAGACTGCAGTGTCACAAGTGAGTGAATCAACTTCTGAGTTTATACCCAAAAGAATTGAAAGCAAGGACTCAGACATATTTGTACACCCAAATTCACAGCAGCATGATTCACGATAACCAAAAGATGTACGCAACCCGAGTGTCCGTCAGCAGATGATGGAGAAACAAAACGTGGCATATCCATACAATGGAACATTATTCAGCCTGAAAAAGGAAGGATGTGCTGACACGGGCTACAACATGGATGAATCTTGAGGACCCCATGTAAGGGAAATAAGCCAGTCACAAAAAGATGAATGCTGTAGGACTCTCCGCTTATATGAGGTCCCCAGAGAAGTCGGATTCACAGAGACAGAAAGGACAGTGGTGAGAGCCAAGGGACGGGGGACGGGAAAGGGAGGGGAGTTCATGTTTAATGGGGACAGAGTTTCAGTTTGAGAAGATGACGAAAGTTCTGGAGATGGATGGTGGTGACGGTTGCCCAACATTGTGAATGCGTTTAATGGTACAGAACTGTAAACTTAAAAATGATTAAAATGGTCACTTTCCAGTCATGTGTATTTTACCACAATAAAAACAAAAATGAGTGAACAAAACATTTCCTGGACATTTCTGAATTG